TGGAATTATTGGAATTTGGGCAGTATAGAAATTCTGTCCTGGCCATGTCTGTGTGAAAATGTGTGAAAGTATGTGAATGAGATGGACAAAGGGACGGGTTCTGACCCAACCTGAGGGCCGAAGCGAATACAGAGTCCTGATCCGTGGTCCATAGCCCCTCAGACAGTCTATGGTGGAATTTCACCAACCAACGTCTAGGTGAAAGCTCCACAAGGCTAAGAGGGCCCTAAGTCCCCGTGAAGAGAAAGGCCGGAGATGGACGAAGTGACTCTTGTCCTAAATGTGCAACATGTGGAAAATAGGAGGCACAAAAGGAAACTGAGCCTTTGACATGTGTGTTAGAAACCTTTAGGAAGGTTTTCCTGGTAACTGTAGTGTGAAATTCACTCCACAAAGGTTGCATACTCTCTGTGAATTAGAATGGCCCACATAAGGTGTGGGGTGGCCACCAGAAGGATCTTTAGATGAGAGAGTCATTGCTGAGGTCCTTTTGATTGTGGTTGGAACCCCTAAACCAATTCTCTTATATTGATTGCTGGCAAGAGATAGTACAGAAACAGTCCCCTTGGTTGAGAGCCTGTCTACATGGACAGTCCAAGCTGATGTTAGTGGGAAGCATAGTGGTCTCTAGGACCTAGCGGAAAGCAGCTAGACAGAGAACCTGACAGAGGGGAAAAAATAGGAAAGAAAACATTTTTCCTGTGAGCCAGAAGAGGACCTACCACCTTATGTGCCATTCTACCCAACTTTGCCAAGGCCACTGGGTCAGCAAACTGTCCCCTCAGCCCCCTCGTCCTCAGAGGCAACAAATGATGGTCCCCAATACTGACTATTCCTTCCTCTGTGATGTCCTCAGAGCCAAAGGCTTCCTAGAACCAAAGACTCTTTCACCTCCCAAGATTAAGGTGGTAGATTTGTCCCAAGACCAGAGCTACAACCCAGATGAGATTTCTCCAGATGTCCCTCAAGGGCATAAAGGACCTGCCCATGTTGACCAGAAGGGAAATGTCTGAGGAAGACAAGGCAGTTTTGTGTGCCAGCCTTTCACCAACATTGAGCTCATAAGCTGGAAAAATCATCCTCCCTCTACATGAAGAAAGCCTGGGCCATGTCTGATCTAATGCAGCCTATTATTCAGACCTAGGACGGGGCCCCAACAAAAAAGAAGGTCTAAAAGATAAAGAGATATCAAAAAGCCCTCATAGGAAGTTTAAGAGAAGGGAAAAAGAGAACAAAACAAACTGTCTGTGCCCAAGAGTTAGAAGGAATTGGAGCCAGCCCTGAACTCCTACCTAAGCCGGAGGTCATCTGCAGACAAACAGAGCTGAGCTAAGCCTCCCACCGCTCCAGCATCTCCCTCTCGCACCCTTGGTAGCCCTGAATATTTCTCTCAGCCCCACATCTGCCTAAGGCTCCTCTGCCCTATGAAACTGGCAGCAATGATCAAAAGAGATGTGCCCAACTGACTCAGAGCTGAGTGTCTGGGCCACTGCCACTGCCACCCCTCTCCCCGCCCAGAGGTATCCAGAGGAAGAAGGGCACTATGCAAAAGTAGCAGCCACCGCACAAGTGTGTCCATGAAGAGATGCAGAGGCTTAAACAACAGATGATCAATGCAGCCTTTGTGGGACAGGCTCAAAGTGGCATTTGCCAAAAATTACAAAAACTAGAGGGTTTTACTGAGAAGTGTGCCAATGAACTGATTAAGGTGGCCACCACAGTTTTCATCCATTGAGACCCAGAGGCTCAAAGACAGGCAGACCAAAAAGATGAAAAGGAGGATAAATCTCCTTATAGCTGCTCTCACCAAAAACCCAGAGGTAACTCAAAGGGGGGTCTCACTAGAACAAAGCCAATGGTCCAAATTTTTATGGGGGTCGCACAGGGGACATGGCCAGAAAAAGGGTAAAGCCTCCAAGTGGCCCCAGCAGGCAAGGACCCACTGCCACGCTCAAAAGCTAAGCCTTAAATAGAGAAGGAGCAAATATTTCCCCCTGCCTTTGGCCCCAGCCTCTTCTTTCAGTTTCTTGCTCAGAAGTTGATGATTGATGAAAATGGCAGACACACAAAGATATATCGGATGCATGGGACCCGGGGCCTCTCAAGGGCTCAGCCGCTGCAAGCCCAAGAATACACTGGGAATAAATTCATGTTAACAACCAATAGTGGGCCATAGAGCACTCACTACAAAAGGACATTCCACCCTGGCTCCAAGCCACGTGCTATGAGCTACCAGCAGGAAGGACCAAAGAGCCCCATGCACTCAGGCATACTGAACAAAAACATAAGCGGGACAGCCGCTATATACAATTAGAGCAGGCTCCTACCTGGCAGGAGGAGAAAGCCCCGCAGTCAAAGAGCAACACCTAAGTTGGCACCATGCGGCTGCCACATCAGGACCTGCACGGAACCTGCCTTATAATCTCCGCAACCGGCCCATAGAGAGAATTACATCGGTGCCTTTTATACAAATGATATCCCAGGTCATCAGTCTCTGCTACGATTTGCATTAGATTTAAGAGTTGGAGAATCCCAGCAGCCAACATCCTGTACTGGGAGATAACAAAAAAATCCTGCATCTTAAAGCACCAGAGGCTCTGTGTACACCTCCCTTCCCTAAATGACAGTTCCTCTCAGGGGCTTGAGTACACCATCTTTGGGACAGCATGAACTCTGACTTAAAAGCTCACATCTATCAAGAAAAAGTAAATACCTTGGTTACCATCTGACTGAGCAACAGAACAGACAACAGCAACAGGGCCTCTAAAGAAACAGGAGATCTGCTCAATTCCAGTCCCTTCAACCTGCCATCAGACTAGAGAATTCTTGGGGGCTGCTGCATTCAGCCATATATGGATCCCTAACTTTTAATTATGGCAAAATCCCTCTACGAAGCCACAAAGAAGAGAGAATGGGATCCTCTAATATGGGGGCCAACAAGGAAAAGGCCTTTGAGAACATTAAACAAGCACTCCCAGTGCATCTGGACTAGGGCTCCCTGACCTCACAAAGCTTTACTTTCTTTATGTCCATGAACAGTCTGGAGTGGCTATGGGAGTATTGACTCAGGTGCTAGGGACATGAACATCTATCCAAACAGCTGGACTCTTTAGCCCAGGCTGGCCACCTTGTTTATGGGCCCTTGAAGCCACAGATCTTCTGGTACTAAAAGCTGATAAACTGAAAATGGGACAAAAATTGGTTTTCAGGGTTCCTAAAGGACAATACTGATTTACTAAGGAGAGAATGGTCAATACCAGGATATGTTATGTAAAAACCAATGTGTCCATGTTAAAGTCATCCAGACTCTAAACCCAGCAACTTTGCTGCCCCTCAGACCGCGACAACATGATCACAACTATATTGAAGTCATGGATGAAATGTTTTCCAGCAAACCAGACCTGGCAGACCAGCCCTCAGGGACCCTGATGTGGAGTACTTCACAGATGGAAGCAGTTTTATAAAAGATGGGGTATATTTTGCTTGATATGCAATGGTCACTCTGAACTCCACTGTTGAGGCATAACCTCTGCCTCAGGGAACTTCAGCACAAAAAGCAAAATTTATTGCTTTAACTCAAGCACCTCAGTTGACAGCAGGAGTCTGTGTGATTAGATACATAGACTCAAAACATGCGTTCGCTGCCCTTCATGTTCATAGGGCCTTATGTAAGGAAAAGGGGCTAATTAACTCAGGGATTTTAAAAAAAAGTATAATATATGGGCAAGAAATTCTTCAACTTTTGGATGTACTGTGGGCTCTCAGGAAGGTTGTGATTATATACTGTCAAGATCATCAAAAGGGAAACACTGTGGTTGCTCAGGGCAACCAGAGAGCTGACACAGAAGCCAGGTTAGCTGTCTGTAAGAAACAAGAAGAAAATCCAGTCCCAGGTTTAAATGCTCCACTCTGCCTGACTGATCATCTAACAGAATGGGGGCCAACATATTCCCAGCATGAAAGTAAGTGGTTTAAGGCTGAAAAGGAAAATTTTCTCCCAGGTAGATGGTGGAGATTTTCTGATGGCCAGCATAGCCATCCCGGAGATTCTAGCCCCAGCCTTTATCAGACGGTTCCACAGGAGAATACATGGGACATACAGCATTTGAGACAGTTCTGAGTCAACATTTCTATGTCCCCTGGCTCACAAACATCACCCCGGATGATCTGTAAATAATGTGCTTACAACAATCCTTGTCAGTTGCCAAAGCTCCCACCAGGAATCCAAACTATAGGAGGAGCACCTTAGGAAGACTTAGAAGTAGACTTCACTGAACTATCACACTCATGGGACTATAAATAACTTTTGGGTTTTGTGTGTTCCTACTTTGACTAGGTGGAAGCCTTTCCCACCACCAATGGAAAGGCTAGGGAGATACTAGGATGCTTCTCTGGGAAATTATTCCCAGATTTGGTGTCCCAATAACTATTAGCTCAGACAATGGGCCAGCTTTTGGGCAGAAGTGATACAATTAATGACCAAAAGTTTAAATATCAGATGGAAGTTACATACTGCCTATAGGCCACAGACTTCTGGTAAAGTTCAAAGGATGAACAAGACTTTAGGCTCAATTGGGTAAGTGGTGTCAGGAGACTCATTTACATTGTGATTAACTTCTCCCTATTACACTGTTGAGGATTAGATCCACTCCCACTAAGAGGACTGGATTCTGTCCTTATAAGATAATGAACATGAGGCCCACCTCTTATTAGGTGACTATTGGGAGACTTAAGAAAGATAGGAGAATTAACCCTGAGACTACAGCTTCAGGCCTTACTGAAAACTTTACAGGTTCTCAACCAATGTGTTAGAGAAAGACTGCTAGTAAGACTGTCCACAGATGCACACTCCTTCAAGCCTGGAGATTGAGTCTGGGTCAAAGAATGGAATATTCAACCCCTAAACTTCTTTGGAAGGGCCCTTTCACTGTTATTTTATCCACCCCAACTGCAGTAAAGTTTGCAGAGATAGGTCCCTGGATTCATTACACCAGACTCACCTCTGCAGCTGCAGACTGGGAGTACTCTCCAGATACTGCTATGCCTTTGAGGCTGACCATCTGAAAAAAAAAGAAAAAAAATGAGCACTGGAGAAGCTTGAGGGACAGAAGGACAACAGCCCTGCTCCAGTCACTCTGGAAGCTGACTGGTCTATGCACAGCTGAAGCTTGAGTAGATTACAGCCCTGTTTCAGCCACACAGGAGGGACTGGCTGATGAATACATGATGAAAGATAAACTTCCCACCAGGACTAATGAACTCTTTCAACCTCTAAGATAGTTCTTATACTGTAATGCATTGCCACTCCTTGCTTCTAGACATATACATAGTTCTCTGTTTGGTTTTTGCTACTGGTTTGATAACAGTAACTTCTACTGACTGGACTCTGGGTAACAAAATTTCATTTATACTTTTTTATCTTGCTTATATAGTTTTCTAGGGTTTGTTTGATGTTATTAGTTTGGCTTTGTTAATTTATACTGTTTAACCTATGCTATCCAAAATATTACTCTATCATTTAGCTTGGTTTTCTTTGATAACCTTAAGGGATTCTGCCCTACTCCTATTCTAACAGTGGAGATCATGTAAACCATGTGTCAAGTGAAACTACTATAACCAAGAGGTGGTAAAACATATATTTAGGATCTGTCTCACCAGAAAAATGCTATAGGTGAATAACTGGAAAGAAAAAGAGGTTCATTGGGAAGGAACTTGATTTAGGAGGTCACCAATCTTGGGATGAAGGTAACTGGCTACCCCAGAGCACTACTGCCACTTCTCATCCCGCTACCTGGGCACAAAATGGCAGTTGAGGCAATAGAACTCCTATTTACATGCTAAACAGAATTGTTCACTTACAAGCTGTGCTAGAAGTTATTATTAATCAGACTGCCACAGCCTTTGACCTCCTAGCCACACAGCAGACCCAGATGCAAGTAGCTAACTATCAAAACCACTTGGCATTAGATTACCTACTGGCTGAGGAAAGAGAAATATGTGGAGAGTTCAACAGCTCAGATTGTCGCATCCATGTGGATGACAACAGATAAGCAGTTAAGGATAAAGCCAACAACACAAGAAAACTAGAACACATACAAGTTCATACCTATAAGGGTATTAAAGTTTGGGTCCCAAACATGCTTTTGGGAGATGGTTTTCAACTCTTGGTAGATTTAAAACCTTAAATGGTACAGTGGGTATTCAACTGTTAACCTGTTTATTGCTCCCATGTTTGGCTCCACTGTGCATTAAAACTATTGGGTCTACTGCAGAAGTTGCTGTTGAAAGGATGACAACAACTAAGGTTTTGGCATTATATAAGGCTTTAAGCCAAAATAATGGTAATGATGCTCTTAAATTTAAAGGATTAAAATATGGGGAGCATCATTAAAGGGGGGAATTGTAGTGGAACTCCTTTCTCCACAGAAAATTCTTAACTGGGCTTCTCCAGAAATCTTCACCATGGGTGAATTTAGGACTGTCAGCAAAAGAATCTCTACAAAAGACTCCAATGTAGATAAACTTCCTATTCTCCTATTTCCCAGTCTTACTCCGCCACTGGCTGGGAAGAAATCAGCACTCCAGGTGCTAGACATCCCTTATTAGTTTTTCAAAAACATGTATCCAGTATAGTAGTTTGTGTAAATGTGTAAATAAGGCCTCTGGCCTTGAGCTGAGGCTTCACAGAGATATCTACATTTCTAAGATAAGAGAAGTTACCAATTGGGCTCCATGTAACAGCTGGCAGGGAGAGAAAAGAAAGGGGAGAAGCTCTCCCCTTCTCAGGTGTTGTCCTTGAAGGGTTAACTTGCCCAAAACAGTGAAAGAAAAAGCTGCTTTTATGTGAACTTCTGACCCCCTCCACTTACATGATGGGTATAAAATTCTGAAACTACCTGAACCCAGGGTTCAGGGGACTCATTGATTATAGCAAAAGCTGTGCCCTCTGAACCTGGCTGCAACCAGTGTTTCTGGCTATCTTCGGTGCCTTGCTTCCTCTGTCCCTACAACATTCACAGTAACTAATAAAAGAAACACTGAAATGCCTTTTAGATTTAAGAAGAAAAAAAATGGGAAACAGAACCTTCAGCTACTCCCCTGAGAGGCTCCACCCTCGCACTTCCAACTCCTCTCTGGGAGCAGAAGACCCAGGGAATGGTGTACACTAGACACTCCAAGAGGATTTAGACATGGAGTTCTGACACCTTGTGTCAGGCAGTTCTGAAACCCAAGGCCAGGAAAAGATGGGAGAGTGGGGTGAGGACATATCACACACTGACGTCTGCAGAGAGGAATCTCAACTCAAAAAATTTATGGTAAGTTTTTGTACAGAGGAAACACACAGCGTAAAGCACACACATTTCTTTCCCCAAATGGTCAAGCAATTCTCTACTTTCCTCTCATGAAAAATGCTCAAAACAGAAAACAAAATCTTTAAAAAGTGCCATTCAGCACTTGGAGGACAATTAGGAAAAATGATGTGTCCATTTGAAATGTAGCATAGGAGACAAATAGTTCACAACCTGGAGAGGAGAATTCAGCATTGCCTTGAGGTCAGGGAGCTGGAAACCTAGGAATTTATCTATAACTTAGGCATTTATAAAGAGCCAGGCTGCAGGACAGGCTCCTCTGCGTTGGACGTGCTGCTTCCCGCACATTCTGGAGGCTCAGAAGGAGACCCCAGCCATCCTCACGCAGGAACACCACGCACAGAGGTGGACCCTTCCTGAGGATGGTCCCTGGTCTCACCGCACAGCTGGGGCGAGGTCGGGCTGCTGGCAGGCTGCTGCCCAGACAGGGCTTCAGTCAGGGCCGATGCGACCACGCAGGGACCGGAGAGGGGGCTGGGTTCCCGGCGCTGCGGACCTGCGCTCGGCTAGGACGGCCAGGGTGGCTGAGGGCGGCGCTGCCCTGAGGAGGACTCGGGGCTGCAGACTGGAGAGGACGGGGTGTCCCACCCACCGTTTCAGGTTCCCGCCGCGCCAGTCCTGCTAGTTCACGCAGCGCCCCCGCTCACTAACCATTTCCCAGCGGTCGGGAGAGCAGCGCTCTCCGGTGGGTCCCCAGCGCCTCTGATGGAGCGATGCGGATAGCAGGAGCACAGCGGAGCGAACGTGAAGACACGTCAGGACAGCAGCGCGCTGCGAGGACCACAGGCCCCGGATATAAAAAGCCCGCCCTCTCCTCACGGGCTCTGAGCTGGATTGGACAGATCTCACCCATGTGCCCCTGATTGGGCAGGCCTTCAAGGCCCGCCCCCTAGAACGGAGCCCATTGAGCCAACGCTCTGAGTGACAGTAGATTGCACCCAACCTAGGATGAATGAGAACAGAATGGCAAGTTCTTGGGGACTCTGGTTTTCTTGTCTTTTGCCTCCAGTACTAGGGATTTATCCCAAGGACAGTCTGACAATGGGTAACGTCCCCAATCCTTTTATCTTTTTTTTTTCTTTGAGACAAGGACTTTCTAAGTTTCCAGGCTGGCCCCTAACTTGGAATCCTGGGAATTTCAGTCATGCCCCAAGTGCCTATTTTCTTTTTATTTAGAGGTTATGGACATTGAACCCAGACCTTCAACCTGCATTGGTACTATTCGGGAAGAAATTTGCATTTTAACTTGTCCTTGATCCTATCAATTTATTAATTACATATATGTATTATTTATGAATGTAAATAACATTATATCAATTACTTTAAATTTTTACTTTTCTGCTCTCTAGTCTTATCAGGAGGTAGCTTGAACTTTGAACTGGGAAACAGTACCCTAAGGCAGCAATGTCCAACACAAACAAATTATGAATCACAGTGTTATTGAAGATTTTCTTACATTCAAATTAAAAATTGAAAAAACATGTTTGTGGTGGTTTAATCCCAGCGTCTTGGGAGGCTCACGCAGAAGGTTCAAAGCCAGCCTCAGGAACTAAGTAAGGGCCTAAACAATATATGAAGAATATATGACCAATATAAATTTTTTAATGAAGTGGCATACATATGTGGAGCTATACCTTCAAAATTCACTGTATATTAAGTCCCCAACACATCTCAACTCACAGCAAATACACTCCAACTTGCAGATTTATAGTTTCCTTGACTTCAGGAAGAAGAAGGCACTGACAGCCTCCTTTTTATGCCAAAGGAAAAGAATACACTTCCTTACCAATATTCCTGCTTGAGGCCAAAGCCCAGGCAAGACACTACCTTCAGAAAGAGCAAGAAGCTCTGACTAGGAGTTAGTGGTCAGTGTCCAAAGTAAACCACTATTTCTCCCACTATTTCTCAGGTGATTCTGGGCACAGAGCCATTTCCCTTTCAGATATCACACAGCAAACAAAGGAAGATGGGTGTCACCCTCAACAGTTAGGCTTTATTTCAAGAAGATTAAAGAAAATCTTATTTTGCAAATTGGACCTAATGGCCAGGCTGTTTCCTCCTGTGGTACGGAACCGTGACAGTTTTAGCACCAATCCCATGCATATATATCTGCTATATTTCTGTAAACTTCAATACCATCTACCAAGAAACTCAACTTTTAAATTAGGAAAGAAGAAAATCAGCACCAGTAGGGCACCTCTTGTTTGCTGCATAACTGCTAAGACAAATGTGATTGAATCTTGGCAGCCTGTCTATAGTGAATGAATGTATTAGTTAGTAATCATGAATAAAAATACTCTAAAATGTTTTCACTCATGATTGGGCTGATCATCCATCTAGGTTGGGCTCAGCTGGGGTCTGAATGCTGCCTATGGATGGTTGATTGTTAATAAGGTTACTGAATTTCAGAGGGAGAGCTGGCTGTCCCTGGAGCACCTTGATCCTCCTCCTCATGATATCACATCCTCTAAGGCTAATATGGCTTTGTCTCATAGACATTACAGATTTATGAAACCAAAACAAAAGCATTCAAGGAAATTTGATCCTAGGTACCCAACTAATACACTTTCATGATCACTTCTTTTTATGGGCGATAATAAAATGAGGAAAGCCCCAGATTCAATGTTTGGAAAGAGATTCTGTGCTTTGACACGAGTAGAAGTAAAAAAAATTTTCAAGGTTATGGATACATTAAGGCTGAAGAATTGCCTACATTTTGGCCCTCAGTATCATTCTGCATTATCTTACAAATGAGGTTCATATAACTGTTTAATATAGAGGAACATGTCCAAAGCTTCATAACTATTGAGCAATTTGGGCTGGCATTTGAAATCCACTTTGTCTGATTTCAAAGTCAAAATGCCTCCACTAAACCATATGACCCATGTTTTTTTAAGCATCTTAAGTCTTTGATAGTGACACTTACTCAGAACATCAGCACTAGATCAACACCTAGTGCTCTTCTCCAGTGGGACTAATAACCTCAAGTATATGCCTCTGGAGCTTGTGGGAAGTTCCTGGAAAATCTTTGGGAAATGACTAAGGACTGAATTAAGAAAACCAAGAAACAACAATATATTTTATTTCCTCATGAAAAGAGAAATTTGAAAACAGGTACAATGCACCCACAGGCAAGGTGATAGAAAGCATCATATGGAAACTGGAGAGGACTACAATGTATAACTACAATGCTAAAAATGGACAATTTGAATCATTAAATAAGAAAGTATAGGATGTCAAAGAGTAAGACAGTATTTTTAAATCATAGATCAAAGGATTCATTAAATCTCCCTTGTGAAAATATTACCATGGAACATATCTACAAAGAGGCATGAAGGCCAATGCAGCTTGCTTCAGCTCAGTGGGTTTGTAATACTCTCCTCTAGGAGGAGATTGCAGTAAGGTGGCCACAATGCATTGATGGAACACACTCTCAGACTGAAGTGCAAGGAATTAATCTAAATACATTTGTAGGGAATTATCTCCAAATATGAGCTATAATGAAAACATCAAAAAGAATAAACATAATGGTAACACACATATATAAATGTATAAATTTGAATAAAATAAATGCTGACAGAAGCCAGTAGTATGCATGAATTACAGATAGAGGAAGGTTAAAAAATGACAAGGGTATTTTAATAGAAAAAAAATTCATAACCATGAGGCATGAAGTAACACAGGAATTGAAGTGGCAACCTTTTCTCCACCGAAAAGTCTTAACTGGGCCTTTCCAGATCTTCACCCAGATTAATTTTATTTTATTTTTTTATTGGTTGTTCAAAACATTGCAAAGCTCTTGACATATCATATTTCATACATTTGATTCAAGTGGGTTATGAACTTCCATTTTTACCACATATACAGATTGCAGAATCACATCGGTTACACATCCACGTTTTTACATATTGCCATACTAGTGTCTGTTGTATTCTGCTGCCTTTCCTATCC